CATGATCGGTCTAGACGATATATGCAGAACTGCTATTACACCATGGGTTTAAATGCCAAAAGGTTTGTCTCTTAGTCTTGTGTTAATTGTATAAAACTTTTTTTATGTTATTAAGTGGAATATTAGTTTTCTTACACATTTTGGAGAAGAAATTCGAAAGAGTTTGGATGTTTTGTGGGCAACCAACCCAAGAGATTTGGGTGATCCTCTTGAACCTCTATTTTGATGAGTAGAGTTTATTTTTCTTTCATTTATTTTCTTTATTATAACTTTTGTAGTGTGTTAGTGTGATCTTAATATACCTTATAAAAATCCAAATTATAATTTTCCTCCCTCAAATTCTAATAATCCTAATTGCTAGCTAGGACTAGCCACACCTAGTGTTTTGATTAACTAATTTTTTTCTATTAATATTTGACCAACCTAAACCCCATAAAAATTTTCTAGAGCTTTAGCCAACATCCCATACTCCAATAAATCTAAGACTCTTATGGTTCTTCTAGTCAAAATCAACAAATCAATTAGTTCTTATTTATGTTTGCTGCTAAAACCCATTAACTTATTTCAGCTCCATATAAAATCTCAAAAAATTACCAAAACTCCACCAAAACTTTTAAAACTTTTAGATTCCATCTAGAGTATGTCCTTGAACCATTTAAAAGTGAATGTTATAATTATCCCTAATATATATAAATACATAACAAATTCTCCAATCTTAGTAAGAAGGTGACACCAATGAAGTGAGAAACTTAGAGAGGATTTTTACAAATAATGGATTTGAACACCTCAAGAGGTAATCTCTAAAATTTTGGACATGATTTACATACTTTAATGGTCTTTTATTTTTCATGGCAAACACATGTAATAGATAGTGTAACACCAATTGTCTATTTATCAATTTATTATATAATTAGATTTTTTATAAATTTATCAATATAAATCAATCCAGCATAAGCAACTTAAAATCATATACATAAAAATATAAAACTATATCTATCCCTCAAAATTCATGTACATAAGCGAAGAGATTAATCATTATATTTATTTTAATTTTCTAAGCTCATGACTACAAAAGGATAAAACTAGAATAATACAAAACTAAAATAAAACTTGAATTCATGATCTATCCTCACTCCACTGGATTCTAACCCCTTCCTAAAAATATATAAAATTACAGAGTGAGATAATAACTCACTATATAACTAGAACATACAACTGAAATCAATGTAAGATAATATGAATAATATGATGAAACTGTTATGTTGCATGCGTCTTGGATGGCCAGGGTTGGTTGGCAACCTTGGTGGATCGTTTTCGTGTTTTTTGGTTGCTTCTCGGTTTGGATGTTTAGTTGGTCATCTATGGATGGCCCCTCCCTGGAAACCAGGTGTTGGTCTGAGTTCGTTATTTTTTTATTTTGTCAATCCAATTCTCAGTTATTTCTTCTACTGTTACTTTTTATTTTTTATTGATTATAATTCTATTGATGTGGCCCTGTTATGGTCTTGTGATGTATCACTTTCTTTTAATAAATATTTTATTTTGGTTTTAAAAATATGAATAATATGCATGTAATCATTTAATCACAAATAATATAAAAATATAATTATGAAAGCATGTAACAATCAATAAAATAGTAAAAAAGTCATATGATCAATAAATATGAGTACAACTATATATTTTAAGAGTATTGATTAGTAATCAAGTGAATAGAAATCAATAAGTTCTACCAATCCTATACCCAACATATACAAATTATTTATATAACATCTTATTATATTAGTACACTTGTCATTATCATATGCATGTCATCTAATATTTATGATATGGATAGATATATATCGTATAAATCATGTGATATATATATATATATCAAATATGATAGCTCAAAATCTTAACTATTGTGATATTGTTCGCTTTGACATAAGTCTCAAAGTTTTATCATGTTGGTGCAACGACTTCCCAATATATCACCCATCTGAGAATTGCTCTGAGATAAGCAAGCTTACCTATGAAGTTTCTTAAATGAAATTCTAACTATTAAACCAAAATGTGCTTCACTGTTTAAGAGTTTAGCTTATTTTACTTAAGGGGTTTTACAATCTTTCAAACTTAAGTAATTGACATCCTCATCAGTATCTTCATCCCATAA